ATTGTCGAGACGGTTGCAGGAATTTCTAGCTCATTTCAGAAATAACACACTTGCCCATAATCATCCTATGCAGGTGGGTAATTTTATGGAAAAGCTAGTATCTTTAGTCCCCTCTTGCAAAATACTGTCCTTATGACGAAGAGATTTTCAACTATGGTTTATCAGTGGAGGAGACATTGATCCAAGCAAATCGAAACTATGCCTTCATATCGTTCCTGCCTGATCATGAATTCAATCGGAATTTTTGCAGTCTGAATTAATTAAAATTCCTGTTGCATCAGGCCCTACATCCACCCGACGAACAAAATCGACCGTTGCGTTTTTTTTATTCTACCGGTGTATTTAATATTTCATGAGAGATCGCATGAGGCGTGTCTAACCCTTGAGATTTAATATAAAGCCGACGTATCATTATTATTGTTTCGAACTGCCAAATCTGACAACTCGGGCGGCTTGGAATCCGCCGCTCGCTCGCGCTCCCGATCCGTTTGTTTTGAAAGGTCTCGTGGCGTAGTACTACGAGGTTGTTACGTCAGCCGCTTGGGGGCGCCACCTGTTGGCACTCGTAGTACGGCTTGACAGACGGAGCCCATTCAGATATTCTTATGCCTCCCGCTCCCCTGGCTATTGCAATGTTCCTGTGCTGCAGCGCTGTAAAAGTTGTAAGTGGTCAGCAGTGCGGCCGTCGGCGCGGCGCGTCTCTGTGGCGCCGATTTTTTCTCTCTTTATCAGCGGTTTTTTTTGGCTTGTTGATTTGATTAATTTGCGGAAAATCAAATTGTTCCTACTCCTTGTGTCCAAGTTATTAAACGCAGGAAGATATTGGACTTCAAACGTTATCATGAGCTAAATATAATTTTTTAGTCGGCACGTTGGCTGAGCGTTGCAAGTATTATTTTTCTGTAGCCTCATTAGTCCCGTAAGTAGGAATTTAAAGATCATAAAGACATTTTCGGAACGGAAAGTCAGTGAATTTCCTCTGAACGGGCTCGGAGAGGCAGCGCAATGCTTGAAGTATACCTACAGTTTTGGAGGCGCTCCTTGATATTGTTTTTCCCTCAAAGTTCAACTCTCGGAAATTTTCTTCCGAAAGATGAGGTTCTTTTGCATTGATCCAGTCACGATCACGATATGATGCAACGAAACTATTCGGCCTCCAACTCCAAGTAGGTTAAGTTGCGTATCCACGAAATGAAGGAGAACGTGAGCTCTTCTCGGCCGGCTCAGAGACTTGAACGCCGGAGTAGAAAAGTCAAATAGGGCGAAACACGTGATACAACTACTTCGACCTCCAGGAAGGTACAATTGCATATCCACCAAATTAAGGAGAACGTTAAATCTTTTCAGCTGACTCAGAGACTCTAACGCCGGAGTAGAAAAGTTGGATGGGTGTAACACGGCACAAAGATCGGCAGCAGCGGCATTTTTTGTAGTTCTTTTCGTTTCAGGAGGTTTGCTACCCTCTGGGGCCCTACATTTCTACGTATCCGTACTCTCCCCAGGTAGGTCCCCTACTCCTATACCCAGGTTCCAGACGATGTGTTGTCCATCGGCTTGGTCCACGTCGTAGAGGATGGAGCCGGGGCCACCGACCGCGGAGGAAAAAAGAGAGTGGGTGAGCGTGAGGTGAGGCGCCAGGGCAGGCGCGAAAAACTGAAATTGACTTTCTCCCGACGCGATGAGCGGCCACCGTAGCGGGACCGGCACCGGACTCAGGCATCCGCCACCGCCAGCTGCAGCGTCAATCACGCCGTTTTGCGGTCAATGATTCATTGATGCACCGCCGACTCCACCTCGGCGATCCCAATCCCCCGCCCCCGCTATCCCTACGCGCCACTTCCAGCAAAGATCACTGGGTCCACGTCGCTTCTCACGTCTGTAGCGCCCCCCGGCCCCCCGCCGGTACCGCGGTGTCCTCCGCGCTGAAATCCGCGCTTCTGTGTACGCAAGTAAAGTACGGAAGGTGACGGCAGGTCGAGAATACTGCTGTGCTGAGGAAAAACGCCGTATGAGCATTCGAATGTGGTCAAATTTTCCCTCAGAAAATATGTATTTATGAGGAAAATTGAGAGCATTTTTTCTTGAAATTTTCGGACTATTTTGATCAAATTAAGGACTAAATTCTCTGAAAACCCGGAAGAAAATGTTAGTTAATATTTCCGAAAAAGTTAATATTTCCGTGATTTGTCAAAGGACTTCCCAAAAGTGACAGACTACCCAAAAGTAGCGAAACGCTCCGTTCTGTTCGTTTCGTTTCGTTTCAGCATTGGCCTGAAGTTTGAAGTAAATGACGGTTTTCTTATTAGATTCTTATTTGTCCAATCGCTCCCGGCCAGAGGGAGATTGGACAAATGGACTGCATTTTGCAATTTGAAACTATAAATTCTGGCTCTTCTGGAAAAACACTTATGTGCATAGGGCAACTAATGGGACGCACGTTGTTTTTAAACCGGGCTATAATTTATAGTTCCAAATTACAAAACGTAGTCCAAATGAGAGTCGGGTATGAAAATATTTTCATTTTTTTTTGTCGTTCTTTGCTCGAAGCGGGTCTAAGAGAGGGCGAAGCGCCCTCTTGGGGTTGGGCCGCGTAGCGGTCAGGGGGCATAGCCTCCTAGTATATCCTATACTTCGAAATGAAGTTCTGTCCTTAAGATCAAAAACCCAGACGTTACCCAGACTGAACACTTCAATGTTCATTTGAACCGACGTTTTCCTTTTCTGTAATGGTGACCTGTACTTTTCGCAGACCTGTGCGCTCGCTGCCGGAGCCGCCGCCAGGCCGCCGAAGTCGGTCAACCCGAGAGGAATAGCGTTGATTCCGCTCCAGTAACGTCTGCGTCCAGACAACGATGACGTGTGCGCAACCGGCCGAACGCCGCGGCAAAAACGATTATCTTCGCGCCTTTTTTTGGCGCGGATCCGCGGTTCTCGCCGAAATTGGCGTTGCCGCCGGTTATGTGCTTTTCCGATCGTGTACCGGGCATTTCCGCGCCCGGCGTTTCCGGTCCCGGTGCCCGGTGCCGGTGTTGTGGCATCCACACATCCGGCTCGCCCACTCCACTGATTCCTGGTCGAAGTTGCCGTTTCGCCGACTTTTTGGCCGAGAGACTCGGATGGCGTTGTGCGAAATAGAGTACTTTTTTAGGGAGAGTATGGCCAACTCGAAAATTCAGAGGTTAGGTTTGATCAGGTTAGGTTTGATCCAGAGACAAGAGACCCTCCACTAGTATCTTGGCAATGGTGGAAGCTTTTCCTTTCGGGACTTCGGCATTCTACTGTTGACTTACCTTCATGGCTAACGTTCAACGACGTGTTGGCAGTTTCGTTTTGCAAACAAGCCGAAAGTGGCCGAAGTTTGAGAAACTTTTTTGGCTTATGACGTCACTCAAAGCTTATCATCCACCATGTATAGGTAGGTCAACAGCCAAAATTAGGGTGATGACTGTTGCTCCCTTATAATTAATTGTCCATGAGGAATTGTTGAATCCTCGAAAGTAAAAACTTCCACCTGTGGAGGGTCTCTTGTCTCTGGTTTGATCAGGTCATGTAGTCAGTCACCAAATTGTCGTCGAAGGCAATACTTGTACTGCATTTTGCAACTCGGAACTATAAAGTCTGGCTCTTCTGGAAAAACACTTATCTGCATAGGGAAACTAATGGCACATTCGTTGTTTTTAAACCGAGCTAGAATTTATAGTTCCTAATTGCAAAATGTAGTCCATTTGACGCTTCGGGACGTCGAATCGGTTGCCGCCGAGCGCATACGAAACGATATGAATGCAAATTGAACGTATTTCTGGCAAACGGAACTATGTGCATTGCGACGTGAGCCCTGTTATGCATATATTCCTATGGGTCTCAAGGCTCATGTCTAAATGCACGTAGTTCCGTTTGGCAGAAATACGTTCATACGGATCGCATGTTATGTATGTTTACCGCGCGAAATGTGGCAAGCCTCCCGCGGGGTGTCTAACCCGGGATGCGAGGACGTCGGGATGCCGGGAACAATGTTCAGAAATGCAACAGTTATGTCAGTCGCAGTTGAAACGAGTGAATGCGGTTCTGATTGAATTAGGAAACCGCCGACCGGCACACTGCACCGATGAACACGCGGAACCGGGGGAGGAAAATGAAAAAAGAGCCGAGTCATTCCGAAAGCTCTCGTGGGAGGGCTCCCGTATATTGCCGCTCACAGCAGAAACGCAGTACCTCCATTCTAAATTTTATTTTTTTCTTCCGCACGTTACAATAAAAACCACCCTATTACCTACGAGAAAACCCATTCACAAGAAAAAAAAAAAGAAAAAAAAAACACATTGGATCTAGAGTCCAGACTCTTAAAAACATCGACAAGAAAAAGTGCTCTTGATTCAATCAGAATCTAGCTTAAGTCAAGAACCAAGCCTCTTAGTTTAAGCGGATTTCGTTTTGATTCAAGCAAAAATCCGATTGAATCAAGAGTATTTTGTCTTGTCAATGTTTTCAAGAGTCTGAACTCTAGATCCATCCAATGTGTTTTTCTTTTCCAGTGAAAAAAAACCACCCTATTACTTACAAGAAAACCCATTCGTCACAAGGATTCATTTTTTAAATTTTTAGCTCTTAACGGTGTGCCAGAGTCGGTTCGAAAGTTTAAGGATGCGCATTTGCTTATTTTCTTACAACACAGCACTTCGGCAGAAATTTTTTTTGAAAATATCACTCGGGCTTTTTTCACTTTAGACGGCAGTATAGGCGTTCTATAATTTCAACAAAAGTGGAGAATCACTCTCAGGCGCAAAAAAATGAATTTTTATAAGAATTGGAAAATATTAACTAAGTTGAGCAAGATGACATTTTCGGTTTCTCAATTGAACTGTTATTTTAGGGTTCATGACTTCCGGAATGATTAATTTACTTATTTATTTTCAGAAAAAATGAAAAATAAGCGTGTACATCTTAGAACTTTTATTATTTTTGACGTGTGTTTTAATATTCGATTTTTTCTCTGTTTGCAGTATTTGGTGTTCCACGGGGTAATGCGTTTCTACTTCCAAGATTCAGGGCAGAAAGTAGCTACCAAATGTATTCGCGTTGCATCCGACGCAACATCACAAGATGTAATCGAAACACTCATTGAAAAGTTTCGTCCGGATATGCGAATGTTATCTGTCCCAGAGTATGCTCTCTACGAAATCCATGAAAATGGGGGTAGCTCTGGAAGCAAATACCGTAAGTATATATTCTTTAAAACATTTTATCCAAAACTAAGTTTCTATTCTATATTATAGTAAACTCAAGACTTTGATTTTTCAAAATTAACAATCTCGTCAATAATTTTGTGTACGTGGGGAGATCTGCACTCCTACTGCGTAAAATTAGAGTTAAGCGATGGTTTTTATTTTGTATCTCACTGTCTTAATATAATATTTATCAAAAGATTTGATCTTGTCAAATGGTAAATGAAGAGAATATGAGAAAAATAAGTATACCAGCCAATGAGTGCACTGAATTAAAAAGTTACGGGCTCTATAGACATACCGTCCGTTCCGGGCTCAGAGGCCGAAAGTTCCGGGTGCTGTATTGTATCCGCAGCTTTGATTGCTCCGGGTGCCACGCTCGGAACTTTCGGCCTCTGAGCCCGGAACGCGGGCAGTATGTCTATCCAACCCGTAAGCACGACTTCCACGGCCGGAGCTTTTTTTAATGTGTGATCATTGAAGTATCACAGAGGGAGGTGTTGTCATTTTTCTTTGTTCTCTGTTCTGATGCTCTCTTCCTGTTGACTGCCAGCTCCACTAATAACATCTTTGATGTATGTTTTCACAGATGAGCGAAGACTGGATGTAACGGAGAAGCCATTGTTAGTCCAACTTAACTGGCACAAGGACGATCGGGAGGGGCGGTTCCTGCTTCGGAGGATAGATGACACAACCAATGTAAGTTGAGATTCTACATCCTTCGACCAATGAAACTTCCTAATTTGAAATCTTCTCTGGGAGGACCACTCACGGATCATTAAAGTTCTTTTGTTTTTCAGATGTTTCGCATGTCTAATATCGCTTTGCCTCAGTGGAACCGTAAAAAATAAAAAAATCATCAGTCTCTTTAGATTCTGTGTGTCCACAAGTATCATCATTCCCGTTTTTTTGCAATTAATTTGAGTCTCCAAGTACACAATAGAACGGAATGTTTTTAATGTTTTTTTGAGTGATAGAAGGATTTTAGAAGGGAATAAATGAGTTGAAGATCGCTAAGTAGAATTTTACTTTTAGTGTTCATTATTCAAGAGTTTTTAGTGGTGAGGATTTTTTTTAAAGCAAATATTAGCGCCCATAATTTTTAATGATGGAACTGTGTTTTTCTTCGTGTCAGGTGCCAGCTGGAACGTTTCAAGAAAGTGGCTCAAGTTTCCGCAGAAAATTATCCAAACGAGAAAAGAAGCAGCTGAAAAAACAGGAAAAGTTGAACCGAGTAAAAAGCACGGGCAGCTCTACCACAGTCACCGATGAAAATGATTCCGGAGTCGCTGAAAAATTATACACAGGTTCATTTTCGTTTTATTTTTATACTAAAGAATTATCAATAAAATAAATAAAATTTAAAAAAAAGAAACTGGTCAAACTTGAGTTTATCGCAATTTGAAAATCATCATTTGGCTGTAGAACGTCTTAGAATGGTGCTCGCTAATGGTGCGCTAGTTGCGCTAATAGTATTCTTGGAAGCGAGAATGTGTGTTGAAAGCTCTTACAAAGTGTCTATCGCAATAAACTCACAAACGGTTGAATGGTATCAAAAATGAAGGATTTAAAGACATTTCTTAAGATTTGGAGACAAATGCGTGTGAATTTGAAATATCACTCAGCAATAGACAACACAAATGAACTTGTAACTCGTACATCGAAACGTAAAAATGAGCTTCATCTTTAAATTTTTTTCCTTTATGTACTAGGCAAAAATCATAACTTGAAGTGACCTTTTTGTCAAGTTCATGAAAATTGTATCGTAACCCCTTCATTTGTGACATGGTCCATTTAGAGTCTTGATCAAAATAGCTGTCAGTCATATGGTCACTAAATTTGACTCCGGCTTTCTCCCTATTCATCATACTTTCTTGATCAAAACCTAAAAGTTACTAACTTCCTACTGTAATGATTATTCTCTGAAGACAACTGCACAACCGGTGGATATTAGTTGAGAACTCCCAGGGACCAGTGGTGCAAATTTCAAGTTCAGTCTACTGATCTAAATTGCATAATTCAAAATCGCAAAAATTTTAGTGGTTTTACAGTGGAGGTCTCATAAACCCCAATGCTGAATGCCTTCGAGTATCTAATGTCCAAATTTTTGTTCACAGAGCTGCCGGAGACCAGTTTCACCAGGTCAATATCGAATCCTGAAGCTGTGATGCGGAGACGAAGACAGCAGAAGTTGGAAAGAAAACTGCAGCAATTTCGAAGTAAAGATGGTGGTCCTGACACTGGTGGTACCTTAAGAATTTATGGTGAATCACTGTGCAAAGATGTTCCGTACAAAACGTTGTTACTCTCCGTACGGGACTCTGCAGCAGCTGTGGTTCGTGAAATGTTAGCAAAATATGGTCTCGATAAAGAAGATCCTCATAATTACTGCCTTGTTCAAGTGAGTATTGTCACATGAAATGCTGTCATAGATTCATGGGAGCATTGGGGAGAAGTGCCCGTTTTCATTCTTTTTCATCAACTTTTTAAGAATGCTCTGTGACTTGCATCGAGCTGTTTAGCATCACCAGTTGTTAATTTTTCATCAATTTGAAACAATCCTCTTGAGGTGAACCCTGTAAAAAGAGATAGTACAGTTGGATCATTTCAAAATCCAATGATTATAGCACAAATCATATCACAATTTAATCACGCTCCGCTCACATCTGTTGATAACTTCCTCTAGAGCATAAACAAGAGTTATCTCATCATGAAACTGGTTTGAAATCTCAATGAGCGCATTTGCCAAGTCTAAAATTCACTCCTTCACGGCACAATTTGCGCCAGCAATTTTAGCATTTTTGAGCTCTCTGTCTCTGTAAGTATATCGAAGTAAGGACATAATTTAATTCAGGGAGTCTCCTGGTCCCCTAGCACATAGCAAAGCTCAAAATGACTGCTGACGTTTGATGCAGTTCACAGTTAAAAAGTTAAAAACAAACAACAGAAATATTCTGTCTTAATAAACAAAACTTGGAAAACAGGGAAGTAAAGATTTTGGATAAGGGGTATTCCTTAATTTATTTATTTTCAATTGAGGAACTGTTTCCGAAGACAACAATTATTTTGAGTTGGCATAGTTATGAGACTGGGTTGACTCATCTATGACAAATAATGTGGCTGCGGTAGTATACTTTTTGAAGTGGGAAGTCAAAAAATTGTGAAAATCTTTGAGGCAGGCTGTTCAGCAAGGAGTGAATTTTAGGTTTTCTCCATTATTTCATGGTCATTTATGAGCATTTTTTCATGAGAAATTATTCTCGATTTTGCTCCTGTTGAAGTTTGCAACAGACCCACTCTCATAAGAGTATTTAATTGGCAAGAAAAATAATGCAGTTGTCTTTTAGTGTAGATTTGGACGCATTTAAATAAAAATGAACAATGAACTGTTCATATATTTGAGCCCTGACTTGCATGTATGCTTATGGATCTCAAGGCTCATTCCAGAATGGATATAATTCCTTCCAATTTAAACACGTAACGTTGTGGTTCAGTGTACATCAGTAGAGCTTTCTAAAACAAGATCAATTCAGTTCGTCTAGAACATGCATTAGATAAGTTGGCAGTTGTTCGCTTTCTGTTTGCAAGCCACTGCGCTGCTGTTGCCCTACATCGTTGGAGGATTGACCAAGTGCGATGGCATCATCATGCAGCCATTTTGCGCCAATAGCGAAAATCAGCACCTTCCTCTGAGTATTTATTACCAAATTTATCTTTTGCATGTGATGGTCAGAAGTAAACAACTGGAAACTTATCTGATGCGAGGTCTAGTTTTTTTTTTTTTGCTCAAGGGTAGGAAACATGTAGTTTGTTTGAAGCCATTTAAAGTTTATTAAAGGAAGATTTAAAAAAAATTGTCTCTCTTAAAGTTATTCAAGAACAGAAAAGCCACATACATGAGTGGCTTTATGTAGTTTGGAAAAAATAGGAACTACATCCTTTCTTTTTTTTCTTTTTTTCTATTATTTGTAATTAAAATGTCAATAGATAGCAACGCATTTTCAGACCTTATGGGTTGCCAAAATTTTTTACTCATTATGTATATCAGACAATTTTACAATAATGAACCACTTTAAAATATACAAAACCTGGTAAGGAAATTGATGGAAGAAAGTAAGGTGGTATGAAGGGTAAGGGAATTGTTGGGAGAAAGTTAGGTGATAAAAAGGAAGGTGGAACTCTCCTCTATTTGCAAAAGAAATTTACCATCAAATCCCCTTTGTTGCAGGTGAACAATGCAATACCTCTAGAAAATTCAACAAATACAAATGGAGCATCTGTACCTGGCGAAAACAACAACAACCGAGAATATATTTTAGATGATGATGAATGTCCTTTGGCTATTCTGATGAATCATCCCCAGTCAAGAGGTAAGTTCTGTTTTAGTTCTTATGTGCATGAAAACTGTCGCTGGTTCTCTAATAAAATTTTAAGCTTATTTTCTACCTCTAGCTTTGCTCTCCTTTATTCATTTTTGAAGAACATCAATTCAATTGAAAATTGGTTGACCATAAATGTTGACCTGTGTTGCTATGGTCAAGCAACGTTGATGTTCTTGCAACATGGTGTACATCAAAGTACTCCAAAGGCACACCATCATCATGGTGTTCAAGATTTTGTCAACATTGAATGTTTGTAAAGAATCTGTCTCATCGTTAGTCCCCAGAATGGGAGAATAATTTTTTTTTAGAAGCCTCCATTTAATGATCTGATGAGAATGAGATAATTAGAACAACTATTAGTAATTTCAAGTTTTTAAAATTCACAGAGAGAAAAAAATGTAAGCTTGTTGGCTATTTGCAATAAAAACTTTAAATAATGAAATATGAGCCCATAATGCAATTTCATTAAAGTAGGAAAACTTGTTTTGTCATAGCAAATATTCTACTCAGCACAGCTTCCCCAACATGACAAGTACTTTATTTTAGACAACAAACAACCGCCAAGTAAATGGATTCCTCGCAATAATGATTCCAATCTTTCTTGGTGTAACATTAATCTTGCCAAAAAACTTCGATGAACATCCTATTCTTGTCCAGACATGGACTGTTAAATTGATCTGAACGCTGTATATATATTGTTTCTTTTCCAAGTCCAAATTCATTCTTTACTGATAAATTAATTATCGTTGCCGATGAAGTAATAAAATTTTCATTCTAAATGACATAAACCAAATGTTTTAAGTTTGCTTCTTACTCGCAATTTGGAGACAATCACCTTTTTATAATTGGTTTGAATGTAGGTGTGCCTTGCTGTTGAGTATCCGAAAAATGCAAAATGGATGTATTTTATCAGAATCAGCATATCCGTTTTTCACGTTGCCTGACTTCCTCTCAACTTTATATATTTTTTTTTTTTTTAAACAGAGAACTAAACAGCATAACTCCTTGTAACTTCCTGTGAATTTTTCTCCGACTTTGAGGATTATGTTTACAAATTTTCAAGTTAGAATGTTGCTACTTTTTCTGGTGAAAAAATTAATCACGAACAGAAATTAGGCAACGTACAATGTAGTTAGGCTGATTCTGATAAAGTTCGTTCAAATGTCATACTTTTACCTACTATTCACACGTGTTGTCAGTCTCGGCGCCAACAACACATCTGTTCGTCGCAATCGCAACCATGTCTCCTCGACAAAACGCCTTCATTTAAGGTGCTATGCATTTTGTGATACACCCCGTGTATTTTATGTTGCCTACGCGCTCTGGTTGAAGGCGTTTTGTCCGCATCCGTTTACCGCGAATCTTTTAAATGAACACGTCGGAACATAGGCGTACGAAGGGGGGTCCAGGAAGGGCTTGCCTCCCCCCCNCCCCCCCCCCCCCCAGAGTTGGAAATAGTATCAACTGGCCCCCCTAAAAAAAATTCTTGATGGTGGAGAAAAAACCTTCATCGAGGATGATTATCTCTCTTAATGTAGAGTCTCTAATGAAAACACTGTGTTCATTCAGTTGGTATTTTCTAAAATTTTCATCAAAATTTGTGCGAATTCGAACACAAATTAGAGCTTATAAGTTTATCGAGCTGTGGGATTGTTCAATTAATGAGTTCTCTATTGAGCATTTTCAAAAATTTACAAATGTTAATTTGAGTCGCAGAAGGCCTCTTTAAATATTATTTTGAAATTAAATATAATACCTATAAATCTTCAGACATGTAAATGTGCAATCTAAAATCCGTTGAAATTTGATTAATTTGCTGCATTAGATGCGAGACTTATGTGAATCGTCAAACGCCCCCCCCCCCCCCCCNCCCCCCTCCCCAGAGTGTCACTTATTTTTGAAATTTGAGAAAAGTTAAGCTCCTTAGGTCTCAAAACGTACTATGAGGTGAGAAAATAAGGAATGTTTATTGAAACATTTTTTTAAAAAAATTTTAGGGCCCTCTCAAGCGCCCTAAAGGACACACACATAAAAATGGGTATTTTGGCGACAATAGTGTCTTTTCTCCATGGGAATTATCAAACTTCTCAGAACATCGCAAGACATGCTCAGGGCTCCCTTTCCTCCCTACAAGCAGCTTATGTAATACCTAAACGGCCTCTTTAGTATAACGCATCTCCGGAGAACCCTATTGCCTGACTCCAAGACACTCGAAAGCGAATCGACGACTCTGGGAAAGATGAAGCACGGCCTCTCGCCGCGTTGTTTGCAGTTGGGAGACCTCGTGAGAATTTTAAGCGCTCGAGACGGATTTCGTTCCTTTGTGTCGGGGCATGTATGTCTGTGTGTGTACGTCTGTGGTCGTGTGTTTGTCAACGTTTACCTATGGAGCTGCGCACAGTGGATCCAGTCAACAGGAGAGGTCGGACAAAATTTAGAAACTTTATACGCTCATAACTCCGTTTATACAAAACTTTGATGTTCTAAGAGTTGATCTATTGGTTTTCTCGTGAAATTGTCCACATGTAGCACCGCTTGAAATTTAAAATGTGACGATGTAAACGGCAAAATTTTCAGTCTTAGTCAACAATTTCATGTCTGACCTCTCTGATGGACTCGATCCACTGTGCGGTGCGGCGGCGCGTGTTTAGAGGATGTTCCCCGCGCGGGATTTGACTAATTAGACGGGACGCCCTGCCGCACAGTGGGATGCGCCATCGGGAGAGATCGGGCAAGAAATGTTTTAATTAAACTGCAATTTTTGATGCTTAAAACGTCGCATTATAAACAAAGGGTATTGATAAGAACCGCTTTTGGGCCCACCCCAGGCGAATTTCCTCTATACTCTACGATCATTTGTTCTTTGAGGGTCCACATTTTATGGAATGCTTATGATTTGTTCAGTCTTCATTTTTCTTTAGGATTTTGGTTTAAAGGCGGGTCTAAAGTACTCTAAAGGCCGATTTTGTGGAAAAGCACACATTTTTTGCTATTCGACCGCCAAACTGCTAAACTTGCATATTTTGCCAAAATCAACCTCTCGGCACCTGTTCAGACCAGTATTCTGCCTTGCCAAAGAAAAACGCCGTATGAACCCTCAGGCGTTGCCAAATTTCCTTTGATAAAACACAAATTTCCTGGTAAAATTATGAATATTTTCCTTTTGAGTTTTTAGACAATTTTTTTGCAATTTCATCGAAAGCTCCTAAAAATTCTTAGGTAAATTTTCATAAATCTCCTTAAAAATTAACATTTTATTGAAGGAAATGTGGCAACTCTCGAATGTTCATGCGGCGTTTTTCCTTAGCGCGGCAGTATTAGACTTAAAAAGAGATGAGAAATGACGAAATCATGATGCGTTCCGTAAAGTACAGTCCTTTATGAGCAGTAATCGTAGAGTTAAGGAAATTCAGGGTGGGCCCAAAAACGGCCCTTATGCCTCCTCTCTAGGGGTACTTCATTCAAGAAATTTTATGAGAAAACCAACGGAACTATTTTTAAACCTCAACTTTTCCTATTAATGAAAATGTACTTGTTCAGGGTGTCTAGCATCAGAATTTTCCCGATTCTATCAGGATTTGAGGAAAAATCGGTTGTAAAATCAGGATTTGAGAAAATTCGGCTGTCCGGTTGGATTTTTTTATGTTTTCGCATACGCCTATGCAGAAATTTCAACTTTTCTCCGCAAAAAATCAGGATTTCGAAAAATTATGAAATCAGGATTTAACGGTCAAAAATCAGGATTTCCCAAAATGAAAAAACTAGACACCCTGTTGTTTTCATTTTTCACATCATGTCCGACCATTTTCGTCGACCCATGCCGTTGTGCGCCGCTCATGGCTGCGTTCCGCAATCCTCCGGATCGCGAATCGCAGTCTGAGTCTTCTATGAATTTCAGAAACCGTGCGAATTTTGACTGTTTTCTCTTTTTATTGATACTCCGTTGCCGTATTTACACAGGTCCTTTTGTTTTCTCTCCTTGGCTCCGTTGTCTCGTGTGGGTTTTTCTTATCGTGCCCTCGTTAGGAGCACTCTCTTGAGGATGAGACAGTGTATTCATTCGATGTTAAATATGGTTCATGGTGTTATTTGTTTTCGCAGATTCTACTGCAAACCAAGATCCATCCATATAGGTCAGTCATTCCCGAAACCCAAATGAGAATCTTCTGCGCATGACGTCAGCATTACTGCCGCGAAAACCAGAAATGTCGGAAACAATGCTTTTCTTATGGGAGAGAACAAATTTTTCTTAATGAATCATTTAAATTTCTTACTTTTAAATTCTTTGAAGCTTTCTGAGTGTCGAAAGGAACGTTTAGAAATTAGCGTCAAGGGTTTCAATTCAGCTGAATTTGCGTTTTTATATTTTTAAATGATTTTTGAAGTCAGCGATGTAACAAGCCATCTACTTAGTGGTATAGATTCGCGTGTAAAAATGGCTGATGCAGAGTAAACTGTAAAAATGAAAGAACACAAATTCGGCAAAATCGAAACCCTGAATGCTAATGTCTAAACGTTCTTTTCGACACACAGAAAGTTTCAAAGGATTTAAAAGTAAGAAATTTAAATGATTCATTAAGAAAAATTTGCTCTCTCCCATAAAAAAAGCATTGTTTTCGACTTTTCTGGTTTTCGCGGCAGTAATGCTGACGTCACGAGCCAATGGAAAGGGGCTTACCCCGAGCGGGGAAATCTGCGCAATGACTGACCTATATGGATGGATCTTGCTGCAAACTACGAACGGTAATTTTTTGCTTTATACAGCGTTATTCCTGAGCAAGACCGCATAAGGGTCCATGTTATTTTGAAGCTTTAATACACGTATTTCTTGACATAGCCTAAACTTCATTCATGAGATTTTCGACGCTCCACAGCCCGTGACATGATATACAAGAAGAACAAATTAAAAAAGCGGGTAACATGGCTAATTTTTACATAAATAACCTCAAAACGTTGCTGCTGAAAATTCAGCCTTTCTCAGTTGGATG